TTTTTTTTTTTTTTTCCAGGAAGCCAAAATCTTTATAATATCATTATAATTCTGTATTTAGTACTGAATATTTTCAAATTTGTTCACCATAGCTTGCAAATATAAAAGTGTTTAAGAATCAAGTTGAAACATATTTTTAACTTTTTTTAAAATTTTGACATTCCCAGTTCTGATAGTATCAGCAGTGATGAGGAGGAGCTAAGGACTTTGGGAAGCAGTGGTAGTGAAAGCAGTACTCCAGAGAATGTCGGACCTCCTTTCCTCATGGATGAGAACAGTTGGTTCAACAAGTGTAAGAGAGTTAAACAAAAGTATCAACTTACCCTGGAACAGAAGGTATTTTAAAATTATCAAAACACACTTAAGTTTATTCTTGTTATTGCCTTTGAACTGTGACTGCCGAAATATTTTTAACTGAATAAAATTGTTTATCCATTGCTGCTTCTCTTCTGTTTTTGAATTGTCCTCCTTTTATTGAAAAATCAGGCAGTCATAGAAGATGCTTTTGTTTGTTGAACTTTTTCAAATTTTATGTTTTAACATAAAAACAAGCCATTATTTTAATAAGCAGTTTAATTTATGTATTTGAGATTTTAATTTCTATCATTAATTTTATAAAAGATTATTGGTTTGTGAAAATGCAGTGATTGCCTAAGCACGTACATCTGTTTTTTTTGAAAATTAGATATTTTAGCAGCTCTTGTGTGTTAAGCACTGTAGTAGGCAAAGTGGAGTATATAACAGAAAGAAAACAAACTCTATTAAGGACTTTGTAACCATTACTTTCTTACTGTATTTTCTATTTTTCCCTTTTCTTCCTCTTTAATATCATTATTCATAGATGATCTATATAAGGAAAGCCCAATGGAATTAGTGATAGAAATATTCAAAAAATTAAAAATGCATTGGGAAATTATCATTTTACAAATATAAATAATTTTATCTATACAGATAGCTGTTGCTTAGAAAATACTTTTTAAATCCAAATTATATAGCTATAAACATTTGCATAATGCATATGAAGAAAACTTTTCATGTGCTATTAAAGGAGACTTGTGGTACCAGCAAGAATTCAGACTAAGATAATCTGAAAGTATCTTCATTGCAAAAATCTGAAAATGCTGAGTAGAATACAATTTTTAAAAGATTTATTCAGAGCTACTCTCTCAAGAAAAGGAACTCACTAGGGATCAGAAACATAGACCTAACACAATAAGAATATGTGCATATATTGAGAGAACTGTAGGCCCCAGGGATGGGGGTGAAGGCATAATTCCTTAACCTAGAAACTTGCATTTTAACACCAACAAACAGCAGGCATAGGACCCTGTCATTCAGGTGGAAATTGAACCTAGAATGCAGGAGTGAGATGCAAAATGGCAGAGTAAACAAATAAATTTGTAAAGAAACCTTGGTTACATGAAATAGCAAAAATAATGACCAATATGGGGTGACATTGGTATACTGAAATATGTTTAACTGGCTCTTCTAGAGGAGATGGAAACAGAAGCCCTCAATTGTAGTGTTTGCCAATTTTTCTGGGATAAATACTCCCATCATGGCCAATTTAAAGGTACCAATGTGACATCACTGAATGCAAAATTGGGAAGAGATGCACAGTAGAACACCATTCCATAGTATTTCTACTAAGATAGATGAAATAGATGTAAATGACTGTAAGAACATAGATAATAATAGTTAAAATATGGTGAAATAATTAGAAAGTGATGAATTTTGAGTAGTTATTACCTTTGTGTTTAATATAATTTAGTTGTAAATTTATATAATTTAATTTTTAATAACAGCAATGTTTAACAACTGAGTTAAATTTCTGAAATTTAACAGTCAGTTCTTGAGAGCCTATACAAGCCAGCTACAGACCACCACTGGGAGTATGAAAGCAGAGCAGAACTAAAATGCTGACTAAAAAACATCAGAAAGAGTGAGAGATGCATAGTAGAACACCATTCCATAGTATTTCTATTAAGATAGATGAAATAGATGTAAATCACCATAAGAACATAGATAATAATTAAAATATGGTGAAATAATTAGAAAGTGATGAATTTTGAGTAGTCTTTTGAGCTAGTCTTTCGAGGTCTTTGTAATATAGTGAAGGAGGTTAGAGACATTTTTAAATGTGTGTGCCTGTTTCCAAAATTAACATTTAGAAGTTGCAATTAAGAGAATAGAAGTAGAATGTTTAATTTTCAAACTAGTAGAGAGAAAGAAAAGAAATAAGGAAAGATTGATCAGTATAATAGAAGGGAACACATTAGAAAAAATAAGGATAGTGAAAAGAGAACACAAAATGCAAATTACATATAACCAGAAGAGTCAACACCACCATAAAAGTAAATGGCAGAAACTTGCCAGTTAAGATAAACTCTTAGATTTATTGAAAAATAATTATAAAATTTAGCTCTATGCTATTGATAAGAGAGACACATAACATATAATGACATAAAAAGTTGAAACTAGGGGAATAAATATACTAGACAGATACTAACTAAAAGAATTCTATGTCAATATCATTAAACGTAGACATTAAGGCAGAAACATTTTTTTAAAAGGCAGTGTCTTTCTTTAGTCTTAATAATGCTTACTTTTTAAAGTAAGCATTCACCAAGAATATATATCAGTGCTGAACTTACATCTATTTAACAATATATCCATGAAAAATATGAAGCAAAAATTAATTAAATGTCCAGAATAAATTGGTAATTCCATAATTATAATGAGAAATTTTAATGTCTTTCAGAGTAATTTATAGATTGAATGGATGTAGTGAACTTCAGTAACACAATTAATAAACCTGATCTAAAATATATTAAATGTTAACAATTAGAATATATAACCTTTTCAAGCATATATGGAACAGCTATAGTGTTTTGTTTTGTTTTGTTTTTGAGATGGAGTCTCACTTTGTCACCCAGGCTGGAGTGCAGTGGTGCAATCTTGGCTCACTGAAACCTCCACCTCCTGGGTTCAAGTGATTCTCCTGCCTCAGCCTTCCGAGTACCAGGGACTACAGGCATGTGACACCATGCCTGGTTAATTTTTGTATTTT